AGAGGCTAGTGTGAACGATGGAGAACCTTAAAGTGAAGGAACTCATCGAAATTTGTGAGGAACTCGGCATTACTTTGGGCCGTGCGAAACGAAAGAAAGCGATCCTTGATATCATGAAGGATGAGGGAGTGTCGGCTGAGGAAGTCGATGAGGCCTGGGTGGATATTAAGCACGCCGTGAGGAGGCTGAAAGGCGAGAAGTAGAAGCTCGCGAACGTGAGGAGGCTGAAGGCGAGAAGCTCGTGAAGAAGCTGGAAAGGCGCGAAGCTCGCGAAGAAGCTGAAAGGCGCGAAGCTCGCGAACGTGAAGAAGCTGAAAGGCGCGAAGCTCGCGAACGTGAAGAAGCTGAAAGGCGCAGAACGACGCGAGGAGGCCGAGAGACAAGAGCGCCCTAGAGTTGAAACGACTAGAATGGCAATCCTACAGTGTTCGCAGGCGCCTAGCGTAGCTTCTCCGACGATTCAGGTCAGCGGTTTCAGACTCGGGACCAACTGCCACCGTTCGTAGTAGGCGAGGACATGGCGAAGTATCTCGTCAAGTTGAACACGTCTGTGAGCGAAATGCTTTGGAGCAGTCTCTTTGGGCGCGGAACCTGCTAGCTCTTCTTCCCGGCGAAGTGTCCGACGCATTAACTTGCTTGTCTAGGGAAGCGTTTGAGAGCTATGACGAGGTTAAGGAAGTGCTCTTGAGACGTTACAATGTTGTCACCCGAGGCTTTCAGGCAAAGGTTCCGGTATGCTGAAAAGGGGAATGAGTCACATGTTGACTTCGCGTTTCGTCTTAAAGCCGATTTAATTGAATGGCTCAAGGGCGAAGGTTGTTTATGACGACCGCGATAAAGTGGTGGAATGCGTTGCATTGGAGCAATTCTACCGCTGCATCGAGGATAATGTCAGACTTTGGCTGCAGGACAGACTTGGGGAAGTACAGCTAAACAAAGCAGCAGAGTTAGCTGAGGATATTATACTCGCCGAAAGTTGCACAGCAGGCAGTGCGCGTTGAAAAGTATGAGAGAAAAGAAGGCTTTTCAAAGAAACCTGATCAACGGAAACCCGCTCCGCACCGTAATTTCAAGAGGACCCGTCTCTTACGAAGGACAGTGTAGGGAAGGGCAAACAGAAGCGGAGAAATCGAAGTGAGGTTTCTACCACACTGGCATTTGAATCGGAAAACAAACGGAAGCCGCTAATCTGCTACAACTGTAAAAAGGAAGGGCACATCGCGAGAAACTGTCAGGAAAAATTTGCCTTCGCAACGATCCGAGAATCAGAAAAAAACATGCGGTTGTTGGAGCCGTATCTCCAAGAAATAGGGTCAATGAGGAAAACGTGCCGAGCACTTAGAGACTCAGCGGCAACCATGGACGTTGTCCATCCTTCATTGGTGTCTTCGGATGACTTCACAGGAGAATGCGCGTGGATCAGGCAAGTCTCCGAGGAGCAGAGTGTTCGCTTACCAATCGCCACCGTTGTCATTGAAGGCCCGTTCGGTAAGCTTTGCACCGAAGCGGCTGTGTCTGCCGCGCTGAATGGTCGTTTTTCTTATCTTTTCTCCAACAACTCGGAGCAGCTTCTCAAAGAGCAGGGCAAATCGTTCTTCCCCAACTTAGCGTGCATGGCTCCCACGCGATCGCAAGCGCGAAAGCTTTCGCGGAAGCTTGACTTGGTTCCATGCGGTGAACTCTCAAGTGACCTTGTCGGCGGGTCGACGGAACCCCAGAAGGAAATTTTCCGCATGAGTCATGGGAGCAGTCCACGCGAGCGGCCCGTCGCGGGAGCGGCCGGCGCGGTATGCGCTGGGGGAGACGACGTGGCGCCATTGACGTCAGAGCGAGAGGGTTGCAACGCTCTCGCCTGTAGCGGAAAGTTGGAGCGAGCTGCCGAGAGTTGATCGAGAGACGCTCATTCGGGGCAGAGTGAGGATCTCTCGATTGAAGCGCTAGTGGAAAGCCAAATTGAAGCGCTCGTGGAAAGCCAGAAAAACGCGGGCAAAAGTGCTGTCGAAGGAGCACTACGAGAAATCGGGGAAGAAGCGCGCTTTTTGAAGTTGATAATCAGGTAATGCGGCTGCAGCCATCCAAAAGGAACAAGCTTGAGGTTGATTGGGAAGGGCCCGCCAAAGTATTATCGAAGCCTTGCGATACAAATTATGAGGTGCAAGTAGGAAGGGCGGCAGAACAAAATTTACAACTTGATGAAACCCAATGTTCAATATCAAGCGGTCGTAAATCGGCTGTTTGAAGGCTTCAGAGGAAGAGGAAGCAGAAAATTTGAGTTCCTAGTGAGGTGATCGAAGGGGGATCGAAAGTAATCCGGGAGCAGATAAACCTAGAGCCTAGCTTAAGTGAAGGAGGACCTGAGAAAGAGAACCTGAGAAAGATTGTTTCCGAGTTTGGGTATGTGTTGTCGGACCGTCCCGGAGACGCGACGGTGGTCGAACACGATATCGAGCTAAGCGGTGAGGAGTCAATCAGTAGCAAGCCGTATCGTTGTTCCCTGTACAACGTCGAAAGTGTGAGCCGCTCTTGGTGCCGCATAGGTATCGTCGCCCTAAAAGTGGCCGGTTACTGAGGTGGAGCATGTTGCTCCACAGCGCAACTTGACGTTCGCTAAGAAAAAAAAGGGAAAAGTAAACGTTAATGCAGGTGCATTGAGCAGTGCGTTCTAGCTAGTACCTTCTCAACCTTTCGGTTTCTGGCTGGCGATTCGGGGCAAAATTTTGACCTCATCACGACCTGGGCTGAGCGCTCTCGTTCAGAGTGATCTCAAGGGCCAACTTTGTGGTATTCTTATTCGTTACGTTGTTGTACGTGGAAAAAAAATATTGAGTTGTCATTTTAAGAGTCTTGTGTCCCACATGTGCCTCTTGATGTAGAGGGAACAAAATTCCGATAGACACGTAGATAGGTATATGTTGTACTATACTTTGTCTGGGTTCTGTCGGGTGACCGAGGGCACTTGCTTGTGTCGTGTGTTGTCTGTTGTCGAACCGTTCTTAGCATAGTTGCAGAACCATCGACAAGTGCTGAACCGAAGATGGTCAGAAGAGACGAGTGAAGCTGGTCGACAAGGTGTGGCGACGAGCCAGTGGAGCTGGGATCCGTCGTCAAAAATGGGATGTGTTCCCGGAAACAGTCTGGAGCTGTATTCTCCCCATGGCCCTGGAGGCGACCTGGAGGGACTGGCGAACGAGCGCACCTGACATCCGAGCCCCGTGGAAGCAGCTCGTCTTTCCGGTGCATTGTCTGGCGGCGGGGGTGCTGTTATGCCAGCGAGTCCTCGTCAAACGTCCGTGCCTCGGAAAAAGGCAATCTGGGTCAAGGCCAGCCCGCAGTCTGCCTGGCGCGATCACCTCGACGGCGTGAACACGCGCGGCGCCCCTCTAGCCCATGTGCAGTGAGTCAGCGGCGCACGTGACAGCGAGCCGGCGGCCGCGTGTCGGGTGGTCTGACGCATGGCGCGGCGACCCCCATTGGCGGAATCTGCCCGGACGACCAGCGGCGCTTCTGATTGGACACTTTGGTTGGACCCGGTGTAAATAAAAGAAGCCCTGCGGCGTGTCGCGATCGGCAGTCCTAGAGAGAGGAGTCCCCATGTCGGAGGGCCGACATGTGTGTGAGTCAGCGGACTTAGGCGAAGGGCTGACCTATGTGTTAGAGAAGAGAGCTCGGCTCTTCGAGTCTCTGTCGGCCCCCGTGCCGAAATTGTAACGCCTCTGTAAATATGCTGTACATAACCTTGTTTAATCACCGTCGTCTCGTCCGCTCGTCTTATCAGCTCTGCGCAGAAGCAGTCGCGAGCTGATAAACATACGCTACCAAACGGCTGGTGACCTTCCCGGCGGAGTTGGAAGCAGTGGCGCCTCCGGGACCGTGTTGGCGTCGCCGTCTTTCGCAACAGTGGTGGCTTCGGCGGGATCGGTCCGTCGTTCGCAACACTACACAAAAGCACGTGTGAGCGCACATTAAAAAAAGGACGAAGAAAAAAAATGTTATGCGCAGTCGACAGGATTCGAACCTGTGCGGGGAGACCCCAATGGATTTCTAGTCCATCGCCTTAACCACTCGGCCACGACTGCAGCGGTGTTATGTGGCGCTTTGTGATGACTACACAAAAGCACGTGTGAGCGCACATTAAAAAAAAGACGAAGAAAAAAACGTTACACGCAGTCGACAGGATTCGAACCTGTGCGGGGAGACCCCAATGGATTTCTAGTCCATCGCCTTAACCACTCGGCCACGACTGCATCTGTGTCAGGTGCCGCTATGTGATGACTACAGAAAAGCACGTGTGAGCGCACATTAAAAAAAGGACGAAGAAAAAAACGTTATGCGCAGTCGACAGGATTCGAACCTGTGCGGGGAGACCCCAATGGATTTCTAGTCCATCGCCTTAACCACTCGGCCACGACTGCATCTGTGTCAGGTGCCGCTATGTGATGACTACAGAAAAGCACGTGTGAGCGCACATTAAAAAAAGGACGAAGAAAAAAACGTTACACGCAGTCGACAGGATTCGAACCTGTGCGGGGAGACCCCAATGGATTTCTAGTCCATCGCCCTAACTACTCGGCCACGACTGCATCTGTGTCAGGTGCCGCTATGTGATGACTACAGAAAAGCACGTGTGAGCGCACATTAAAAAAAAGACGAAGAAAAAAACGTTACACGCAGTCGACAGGATTCGAACCTGTGCGGGGAGACCCCAATGGATTTCTAGTCCATCGCCTTAACCACTCGGCCACGACTGCATCTGTGTCATATGCCGCTTTCTGATGACTACAGAAAAGCACGTGTGAGCGCACATTAAAAAAAGACGAAGAAAAAACGTTACACGCAGCTCGACAGGATTCGAACCTGTGCGGGGAGACCCCAATGGATTTCTAGTCCATCGCCCTTAACCACTCGGCCACGACTGCATCTGTGTCATGTGCCGCTTTGTGAGACTACAGAAAAGCACGTGTGAGCGCACATTAAAAAAGGACGAAGAAAAAACGTTACAGCGCAGTCGACAGGATTCGAACCTGTGCGGGGAGACCCCAATAGGATTTCTAGTACCATCGCCTTAACCCACTCGGCCACGACTGCATCTGTGTATGTGCCGCTTGTGATGACTCCACAGAAAAGCACGTGTGAGCGCACATTAAAAAAAGAACGAAGAAAAAAACGTTACACGCAGTCGACAGGATTCGAACCTGTGCGGGGAGACCCAATGGATTCTAGTCCATCGCCCTAACCACTCGGCCACGACTGCCTCTGTGTCAGGTGCCGCTATGTGATGACTACAGAAAAGCAGTGTGAGCGCACATTAAAAAAAGGACGAAGAAAAAAACGTTATGCGCAGTCGACAGGATTCGAACCTGTGCGGGGAGACCCCAATGGATTTCTAGTCCATCGCCTTAACCACTCGGCCACGACTGCATCTGTTTCAGGTGCCGCTACGTGATGACTACAGAAAAGCACGTGTGAGCGCACATTAAAAAAAGGACGAAGAAAAAAACGTTACACGCAGTCGACAGGATTCGAACCTGTGCGGAGAAACCCCAATGCATTTCTAGTCCATCGCCTTAGCCACGACTGCATCTGTGTCATATGCCGCTTTCTGATGACTACAGAAAAGCACGTGTGAGCGCAGATTAAAAAAAGGACGAAGAAAAAAACGTTACACGCAGTCAACAGGATTCGAACCTGTGCGGGGAGACCCCAATGGATTTCTAGTCCATCGCCCTAACTACTCGGCCACGACTGCATCTGTGTCAGGTGCCGCTATGTGATGACTACAGAAAAGCACGTGTGAGCGCACATTAAAAAAAAGACGAAGAAAAAAACGTTACACGCAGTCGACAGGATTCGAACCTGTGCGGGTAGACCCCAATGGATTTCTAGTCCATCGCCTTAACCACTCGGCCTCGACTTTTTTTTTTTTTTTTATTTATTGCCTGGCATGGACATTGTACAGGGCAATCATTGCACACACATATATTACAATACCAAAGAAAAAGAAAAAAAAAACAAGCATTTGCCATCAGTCCCATTTGTACTGATGTTGTCCTCTTAAAATACTTAAGGTTTGCCAGGGGTTCAAACCTTGACAACCATTCTGGCTCGATATCCTCTATTTTTGCTACACTCAATGAATGCAGACATGCTTTGCCTGAAATAAATTACTGCTGGTTTTGCGTCCGGGTCGAAATGGTATCGGCCATCGCGCACGCCATATACAGTGGAGACCGGTCAACATCACTACATCGAATGGGACCCCATCATCATTTGTTACTGCGATGGTACCTTATTCCGTGTGGGTCTAGTGGAAAATCCTTCTTTATTGTCCTCTGTAATATGTCCCAAAAATGTACCCCTTCCCAACAATGCAAAAAAACATGGTCTATTGTTTCTGGTTTCTTACATATCAAGCAGTGTGACCCCCATAGTGTAAAAAACCCCGTTCCTCTGTGAAAGTCTTTACTGATAGTGTTCCTGGTGTAACTTGAAGAAAAAAGTTTTCACCCCTGTAGGTACCTGCATGTTTCTCACCCGCTTCAGTACGTTTTGTCCGGTCTTCCACTGTATATGGCCCTGTACAATGGTTACTGGCAAACCATAGCACATACATCTCTGTACATTCTTTTTCTTCTAACACTTGCTAGATAATCTATCGAAAAGCGTACAGATAAAAACGTACACTGTCTACCACTTCCTTGAGATACCCACGCAACGTCACGGGCCGGCTATCCGTAGTAACAACAAATCTGGTAAGGCACTGCCTAACCTGAGCTGGCATACCGTACGTAAAAACGGATCCCTGACGTACACGGAAAACAAAATCTATTTACTACTTGTCTCACAAATAGGTGCGCCAAACCAAGACCTCCGTCCTTCACGCGCCTCTGAACAAGTTGTCCGTCTGCACCTTTCCCATTTCGAGCCCCATATAAAAACTGCGAAACACTCTGTGCAGCCTTTGCACGTTGATCCTGAACAATGTAACACCTGCCTCACATACCACGTTTAGCAATAAAAAACATGTTGACACACCGTAGCCCTAGCGAAACAGACAGGTTCATGCCTTTCACCTGTCTGCTTTTTCCTTCGTCTCTTTTGGTTGACGCGACCAATACTCCTCGCTGCCATTAAACATTCCAGGGGAACACGACGGTACCTTGTCACGGTTGTGTTTCCGGTCCCAGTGCAGCAATTCGCAAAAAGGTCCGGCTTGAAGGCCACCTTCCGTGCCAAAGCCCAAGATGATTTCGCCTCAGTTACGCGGGCTTCCTGTGACGCCTACAAAAATGTCTTCACCAAACACTTATCGTTTCCTCTACACTTTCTTTGTTCAGTACAACACACCGCAATGTCGTCTGCATATGCCAGCAGCTTAACTTCCACTGCCGCAAGCTTGAAGCCACGAATTTTTTCATTTTCACTTTATCGCCTAAGCACATCGCTTCGATGTAAATACAGAACAAAAGTGGACTGAGGGGGCAGCCTTGACGCACAGAAACGCATTACGTGAATGGGGGGCCCCCAAAGACTTGTTAACAATTAAACGTGTTGTGCAGTTCTGGTACGCCAAGGCCACTCCCTCCTTGATGATGGAACCGACATTAATATGATCTAAGATGACAAAACAAAATATCATGCGCAACACAATCAAAAGCTTCTCCAGGGTCTATCTGGAGCACAGCAACGCCAAGTGAATCTTCGTCACAACACTCCAGCACACACCGCATCTTGTGAATGTTTGAGCTAATGGTTCTGCCTTTGATTCCACAGTTTGGTGCTCTCCAACACTTTCTTTAATGACACCTTGAAGTCGCCGCTGCCAGAACCTTCATAAAATCTTGTAGTCGACATTGGTCAGCGATATGGGCCTATACGATGTCACCAGTTTAAGTTTTTCCCCTTCGTCCGTTTTAGGAATTAATATCGTATGCGCTTTGCTGAAGGAGGGCGGCAGGAGTTTTCCGTTCGTACGCCTCATTGAACAGCTCAGCTAACCCGGGGACAGTCTATTCTAAACGTCTTATACCATGCTGCGGTTAGGCCCTCGGGTCCCGGTGACTTTCCGGGGTTCAGATGACCAATCGCGCGTTCCACTTCACCTTCCGTTATTCTGCCTTCTAAAAGCTTTTTTGTGTCGTCACTAAGCCGCGGCAAGCGCTTGAGAAACTCTCTTTAAAACCCATGTACATTCGCTTTTCGAATTGCAAAAAGTGACTGATAATACGCACAAAGCCCGTTCGATGCTTTCATTGTCGCTCGCGAGAGTCCCGTTGCATAGACCTTATCGATGTGGTTTCGGCGTCCTTGCGCTTTTTCGAGACCAAGCGCCCTTTTTGTGGGCGTCTCACCCGCGGCAAGATCATTTGCGCGCGCGCGAACCCAGGCGCCTCGATAACGCTCTCTGTCATGCAGTTCTAATTTTTCCTTGACACTGCGCACACTCGTCTTTGCAAGTCCCAGGCTTCCCGACTTTCTAGGGCTATCAGCTGCTGCAGTGTTTTCTTAAGACTTCTTTCTTTTATTTGCGCTTCGAATTTTAGCGTGCTCGATCTGTCAAGCGCTTTCATTTTCACCTTCTGCTTTAAACACTCCCATTTCTCTGCTACTGTTTCCGTTTTTTCCATAAGCACTTCATTAATGGTCTCGTGCACTGCTTCTAAAATGGTTCATCTTTAGTAACAATGCGTTCAGTTTCCATAAATCCCAGTTGAAAACCTTACGCTGTTTCTTCATGCCTATGCGACACACAACCAAACAGTGATCTGAAAACGACACTGGCTCAACCGAAAATCGTGACACATAGGCAATACATCTAGGGATAGGTATATGCGGTCTAAACGTGCATGGCTATTGCCATGAAATCGCGTGTAGATCACTTCGCGATTTGCTTGCCACACATTCATACACGTCTTCCAAGTCATTTTCGGTTATTAATTTGCCTAGCACGTCACTGCTTTTGTCTCGAACGCCAGTGCTATTGACTCTATCGCGAGCCCTTAAAACACAGTTAAAATCACCTAACAAAACCACCCTCTTATCACACTTTGTCCACTGAAACAGGTTAGAAAAAACTGAGCACGCTCTTCTACACTATTCGGTGCGTATACGCATATAACTCTGAATTCAGTGGCACCATAAACAAAGTCACAATAAACAATTCTGCCCGACTGACATGAAAAAACACTTTGCACAAGAAGGCTTTGCAATTTTTTTTACAAAAAGAACACAACCCGCGGACGTTCCTATCGAGTGGCTTACGACCGCGTAATATCGGTCAGTGAAACGGCGCACCATGCTCCCGGTCTCCTCCTCTCCGTCTACCTTAGTTTCCTGGACGGCTAGGACGTCTATGTCTTGGTCTGTGAGCAACCGATAGAGCTGACTTTGCCTACGCCTAGCCGCCAACCCTCTGACGTTAAGCGTAGCTATACTGAATGGCGGAGTTAATGCCATAGTGACTTGTTCGCTAAAGGAGTAGGCCCGGAGCATGGCGCTTACCCTTCACGCACCAGCCCTCGGCTAGCCGCCTCCAGGACCATCCTGCTTCCCAGCGCTGTTTTCTTTTGCCTTGTCCTCCAGTCTCCGGTCGGTAGGGACTTTCGGCTTAGGTTTGAGACTACGCCGCCTCCCTTGCGGCGCCTTCGCAGGCGGCTCCTGGCTGCTGGTGGACGACGCCCCGTCCTGCTCTACCGAGTCGTCGAGTGGACGCTTTAGCGTGGCGCTGGTCACGCACATCTCGTCGTCGCTGTCCGCCGCCGTCTCTCCCTGACCCTCCGTTGTATCAGCTGTCCCCACTGGAACCACGTCCGTCTCGACCCGCTCAGGCTCGGCCGCTGACGGGGCGCTGGCCGGTGTAGTCGAAAGCTGGCGAGTCTCCGGAATCTTGGGTGTGTCTGCCTGCGCCGCCCCTCCAGTAGTCACAGGGACCACTGGGCTTCCGACCCCTTTGGCGGCGTCCTCTGCCTCGGCCGCGTCCATGACGTGATCAGCCATCGCCTCGTTCTTCGCTGGCCCCATTGCACTGGCGTACGTTCGAACGCAATCCGCCTCGACGTGTCCGAAGCGTTTGCACCGCGAGCAACGGG